GCAGGCGGGAGACAGACACGCAGGCAGACAGGCTGATAGGGAGACGGACACGCCTCTCTGCATGTATGTGTGTCTGCCTGCCTGTCTGCCGACGTGGTTGTCTGTCTGCCTGCCTGCCTCATTATAGGTTCACGTCAGGTGAACTTTGAATTAGAAAAAAAAAGAAAAAAGAAAAAAAAAAGAAAAAGAAAAAAAAAACAGCAAGCACATAGTTCCCTCCTACACCCCGACACGACGAGCAGTTGAGGCCTGGGCCTGGACCTAACACCCAAGCTGCAGGCCACTACAGGACCAGGTCAACATTAGGATAATAAACAGAAAAAAATTGATATTGACCTGACCCTTACTGACGCTACACTGACGTTTTCCTGGAGCTGTAGTGACGTTGACCTGACGCTATACGGATGTATGGTCCCAGATCAACGTCACTACAGCACCAGACAAACCTCAGTATAGCGTAAACATAGGGTCACGTCAACGTCACAAACACACAGATTGATTGGTAGAGAGAGGCATGTAGGCACAAAGACGGGTAGACAGGCAGACAGCCAGACAATCAAACAGACGTTGTCGGCGCGAATACCCTGACAAGGGTATCCGCCCTGGTTTTTGCAAATGATAGAAAGTAAGTTTGGATCAAGATAGGCTGTGCGACACACGGTCGCGTCAGTGACTTACATTGACGAAGATGGAGGGTATGTGGGCGCGCAGTTTTAAGGCGCGCGTGTGATTCCTCCGATTGATTGAGCAGCCAGTTTGGTTGACCGACCCCGATTTTGCTACAGATTAGAATAGGGAATAAAAGATTTGCTTTCATTGGGCACGGTTGACTAATGGTAGGCCTGACGTACGAAGTGGGGCGCGAGGCAGCCACAACGTAAATTGGGCAAGCCAGCACGGGTGCTTAGCGACCGCGTGCTTAGTTATAGGTAGGAGTGAGGCCGGGCTGTTTTCCCTGGTCTGGGCGTGGCGCCACACCATTTCGTATTGGATCCTGCGCAGGCCAACCCCAGGTTTGGGCTTAGCCCTATTGGTTACGGTGTTGGACTCAAGATACAGAGGTGCGGGGATCGAGGCCAGCGGGGCGGCATCGCGGGAGCGATGGAGCGTTGGAAGGAACTGGGAGGTTGAGGGCCGACGAGGCTATCCCCCTCAGTTTTGCTAACGAGCACGACCCACAGGACTGGGGGGTGCCGACATATTTCCATCCGCCGTTGGTGGTTATAACCATTTTGTTTCCTTTATTGTTACTCTTATTCAACGGCCTCGTTCTGTTTCAGGGCGTGGTACCGCGATTGCTGCTAGGACCCCAAGAGCGTAGTTCAGTGGGTGCACCACCGAACTGTTGAAAATACAGGCCCATACCCGAACGTAGATACCAAGATTTCTGCACTGCGAGGAGCTGCCCAGGCTGTGAAAGGTCGTAGGGCGCTGCCCCCGCCGAAGGTGCTTCGGGACATCTGTAAAAATTGGAACGATACAGAGAGGATCCACGTGGCCACTGTGCCGGGACGGCGTGAGGGAATCCGGGAACGAACCCAGACGCCGGCAGAGCCAGGTGCGTGCGGAAAGCAAGAGGGACGATGTCCGCCCCACCCCCCCGTACTAGAGGGCCGGGGGTAAAAAGACTGAGCGGCCCTTGGTGCCGCTGCGGGGCGTTGCTTGGACGGGTCCCTCGGGACACCCGTCAAAGGTTGAACGGTACGGGGAAGACTGGCGCGGCCTGTGCGCACGGATGATGCCCATAAATCGGGGCGGGTCCGACAGTCTAGTGTTTTGAGGAGTTGGATACTGTCGGACCGCACGGTGTCGGGGAGCCGAGATGACGACAACGAAAGTGAAGAAGGGGAGTGAGAGCAGGCGGAGAGGTGGCGAGGCGAATAGCAAGGGTGCGAATGAATCGGGATGCAAAGGTGTGGTAGGTGCATGTAGGCAGTGAGTAGGCTATGGGTGGAGGAAGCACGAAGAGAGTGGGGCGTGGGCGTCGAGAGAGTGAGCGAACGACGGGAAGACGGAGCGGAGTGATAGCGGCAGCGGGTGATGGGTGCTGATACAGTGAGGTGAAGTAGCGGGGCGACGAACGCTAGTGTAGAGGAGTGGCGGAGTAGGACAGCAGGACGAGCAGGGGCGGACCGGAGGAAAACAGCGTAGGCGGGGGATGAGCGTCGGGCACGGGGAGGCAAGGCGGATAGACAAAACGAAGGGAAAAGCAAAAGGGAACCTAGACGTGGGCGGCACGAGGTGCATTCGGGAACGGGGGTGGCGGAGGAACTACGATTTCGTTAAAACAGACATTTTTTATTTTTTGAATGAAATTGAAACTGAAAGATTTTGGCATATTTTTCTTCATACGTGAATTATTTGTGATAGGAAAAAGGGGTAAGGGGTAAAGGGTAGGGGGTAAGGGATAGGGGGTAAGGGGTAAGGGGTAGGGTGTAGGGGGTAAGGGGTAAGTGGTAAGGAGTAGGGCGTAAGAGGTAAGGGGTAGAGGGTGAGGGGTAAGGGCTACGGGATAGGGGGGTCAGGGGTAAAGGGGAGAGAAGTAAGAGGTAAGGGATAAGATGTCCTTCTTGCATGACCAGTTACATTTTTCGTGAACCGCATAAGTAGTCCTCGTTACTGATACAAACTCTTCTTCTCCTATATCACATCTATTTCTGATTGCTGCATGGTCATTTCATGTGTTTGAACGTCTTATTGTAAATGGAACAAATGCGTCTACTCCATAACAGCTACGTCGAAAATTATCCGGCATTGTAGTTTCTTTGTATCATCTGATGTGAACGTGAATGGTGGAAGAAACCCTCTCACCAATAGTGATGCATATGTAAGCATAAACGCACCGCACTCGCTGAAGTCGCGCTGCTTTGGAATGTCTTCCACTACCCATATATGGTTGAAGTTTTTTGTGTCAATTTCTTGACCTCGTTCAACCGATCTCATGTATAGAAATCTTGCGACCCCCCCTGTCACCTTACTTGCGAGTTGAACATCCGGTGCCAACGAATCGTAGTACTCAGTTTTCATACGCCTAAGATCTGCAACTACGAGTGTCCGATGTTGGTTGTGCGCGACGTGAAAAGGTGCAATAATCAAGCCCATGTCGCTAATCACGACCTCTGTGAACCACCTGCGAACCTTTTCGTACTCAAACTTCATATCGCTATCAAATAGTCTCGCGAAAAAAAACGAGCTTATAACTGCTACTCTAGGAATGTGTCCCTTTTCTGTTCTAACCACATTCTTATTTTTTGAGTCGCAATTATGGTGCTTCACACGACATTCATTGTCCAGTCGGACAAGGTTAAGATAATAATTCACTATCTGCTCGTTCAGTCACTTTTTTTCTATTATTAGCAAGCTAAAATCGTTGACTTTCATCGTTAATTCTTCTTTTATGTCTTCGTTAAACGAATATGCTATGATGTCTGTATTCCCAATTTGCACTCGCAATCGGGTGAGGGCCTCCTGCTCTTGATCCGTCAAGTTTGTTGTTGCCAAGTGGACGGTTCATCCTTTTTTTCACCTCCGGTTATCCTCCATTGTCGTTTGCGCTGCACATGACAATACGCCATGTCTTTATGTGAGCTATTGTTTCACACCTTACATTTCTAGTCATGTTTATTGAATTCAATTTCTTGCAGTAATGTGAAAAAGGGCTTACCTTAAACGAGCGGGGTGCTTATAAAAACTAGGAAGTTACGTAGTGGAAATTAATACACTGCATTATTTTCTTTCGTACACTTTCATCACTTTCAAGAACCGCGCAATAGTGTTACATGACATACCACACTAATTTTTATGATTTACCACACTAATAATCATACTCTCGTTAAATTCATCGAGAGAGAGAGAGAGAGAGAGAGAGAGAGAGAGAGAGAGAGAGAGAGAGAGATTGTTATGTATCATGATTGCCACTTCCT